AACACCACATAAGCAAAAAGAAAAAAGCCGGAAGTGGCGCTGTGGCTCAAGGGATAGAGCGCTAGCCTTGAGCTGAAGAGCTGAGGGACAGCACCCAGGCCCAGAGTTCAGGCCCCACAACTGGACCAAAAAAAAAGAAAAGAAAAAGAAAGTAAACATGCTGGGAACCAGTGATCCCAGCTACTGGGGAGACTGAGATCTGAGAATCAAGGTTCGAAGCCAGCCAGAGCAGAAAAGGCTGTAAGACTCCTATCTCCAATAAACTACTCAGAAAAAGCCAGAAGTGGAGCTGTGGCTCAAGTAGTAGAGTACTAGCCTTGAGCACAAAGAGGCTCAGGGACAGTGCCCTGAGAGAGAGGGGGGAGAGGTAGTGAGAGAGAAAGAGGGAGAGGGAGAGAGAGAGGGAGAGAGAGAGACAGAGAGAGAAACAGAGAGGGGGGGAGAACTTGAAGAAATCTCCCAAATTGGAAAGAAAATAATTAGATAGCATCCAGAAGATCTATGTTAATAAGAAGGAACAACAGAAAAAGAAAAAAAAGATGAGAAAACACCAATAGGCTCATACTTATAATCCTAACTATTCAAAAGAGTGAGATCTGAAGATAATGGTTTGGAGCTAGGCTAGGTAGGAGAGACTTATCTTTAATAAACCACCAAAAAAGTGAAAACATGAGCTATACTCAAGTGGTAGAGCACTAGCCTTAAGCAAAAAGAACCCAGGGGCAGTGCCCAGGCCTTGAATTCAAGCCTCAGGACCAGAACAAAAAAAAAAGTTTAGGAAATCATTAACTGTATCAAAAACTTTCCCAAATGGTACAGAATCATGAAGTTTACTGCACATTGTTCAATAACTAGGCCCATCACAAGGCACATGGGTATGAAAAATCAGAACAATGGAGACAAGGAAATCCTACAAGCTTTACTAGGAGCAGAGCTGGGGGTGGGGGGAGGTGCACACAGGAAGGTTCACGACGTAAGTACTACTTTACTTTAGACTTTTAACAGCAACACTGGAAGTCAGAAAAAAATGGACCAATATCTAAACCCAGCTAAACCACTATTCAGATGTGAGAGGAAAACAAAGAAACTCAGATATGCGAAGTCTCAGAAAGTACACTTCCTGTGTTCATTTCCTCCAGAAGTTACTGAAAGATATGTCCCACCAAAACAAGAGAATACGCCAAAAAGACATGCGATAATGGAAATGGAAAAGATTCAAGACAAAAGCAAAGGGCATAGGCAAAATGATATTGAAGAGAGACCCCAGGATAAGAGCTATATACTAGGCCTAGACAACAAGCAGGCAAAAGAGTTTGGGGCACATTTGTCAAGAATATTAAACTGACAGACTATCTGATACATAGGCTCAAAAGAAAAGATTTAGTCAACTACTATTCTACAGAAATAATCTCCCTTCCCCCCACCAGGCACACAAAAAGAAATAATCACAGATAGGTGCCATGGGCGCACATCTATAATCCTAAAATGTTTGGGAGGTTGAGAAAAGGTGGATCATGGTTCAATGACAGCTAGAGCAGAAAAGTTCCTGAGATGCCTTTTCAACCAGCACACTAACCAGACCAACATTGGGGCACTGAGGCATACACCTGTCATCCCAGCTTTGTGGAGGCTGAGGATAGGAGGACTGTAGTTCCAACCAGGTTAAACAGAAGTCACTGAGGCTATGTCTCAGTGGATGATGATGGATGGGCCTGGTAGTACACACTTGGGTAGAAAGCAAGACCCTATCTCAAAAATAATCAGTGCAAAAACCTCAAGGAAGTTTGGGTCATCAGTAGAATGCCTGCCTAATAAGCAAAAGGCCATGAGTTCAAATCCCAGTACTTCTAAATGGAGGGATGAATGAATGAAATAATCTCAAAATTTCTAATAGAAATAATGGTCAAAACCTTCTCAAACATAATTAAAGACATAAGTTAAGAGACTCAATGTGCTCCAGGAAATGATCTTACACAATTAATACCCATGATGGGGCAGGGTGGGGCAGTGGAAGAGGCAAAATACATTCAGGTGTTTAAGATGGGAGTGTGTTCAGAGAATAGAACAGTTCAACAAATGATAGCTAAATCCTCATATTCCATACGAGTAAGCCAATAGTAACTAAAACGGAAAGATCAAGAAATGTAAAACTTTCAAAAACACCCAAAAGTTTTATGCTATTTTTTCTGTGTGTGTGCTGGGGCTTGAACTCTGTGCCTGGGTGCTATTTCTGAGCATTTTGCTCAAGATGAGAGCTTGAGCCACAGTGCCACTTTCAGGTTTTTACTAATTGAAGAAGAGTCACATGGACTTTGCTGTCTGGGCTGGCTTTGAACCTCAATCCTCAGATCTCAGCCTCCTGAGTAGCTGGGATTATAGTTGTGAGCCACTGACAACTAGCTGTCTATTTTTTTAAGTCAAGTGAAGCAGTGGGAGTGGAGAAGAAATAAAATTCTATAGCTGGTTATAATTAATTAGTTGTAAATGCTACTGCATTCAGACCAGCCATAATAAGTATCTATTGGAAAACAGTATCATTATTAGAAAAAAAGCTTTATGTCTTAAGTACAGCAACAGTTATAGTTACATCTTAAGTAAAAGTTATAAAAATATAGAAGTGGACCTAAGGAATATTAGGCAATTAGTCTAAAAGCCATTTATTCCTTTACTTCCTCTTTCAGATGCCTCCTACTGAGTTCTCAAGGCAAATGGCATTTGGGGGGAAAATGGTTTGGTGTTGACAAGGCCTGTGTTATTTGCCTTGTAGACTTCCACAAACACATGGATGAATGTGGAAAAGTAGGAAATGACAACGATAAAACATTGTTTTGAATGGCACACAGTGAGTGGACTGAAACAAACTTTTGAACAACTAACATGCAGATGAGATTAAAATACACAATTCTCAAAATAAATAAATAAAATATATAATTGTCTCTATTCTATGAACATTTTAGGTAGCTCTGTCTCAATCCAGTATCTTCTTGCCCTAAACAAAAATGACAACTGAGTTTTCACAATAATGATAGAAATAAATATGTTCTTAATTCTATACAAACCTAAGTCAAGATCAGCTTAAGAAAAATTCTCTTCTGTATAAACTGGCATATTCATCCAAAGGACTAAATTTAGATGTTAATCATATTCTTTTTCTACCTCTTACCACAGGAAATAATTATGCCTAATACTGTCACTAATAGAAAAAATACATCATTTAAACAGCTGCTTAGTAGATAATTCAAAGTAAGTGCTTAACACATATAAATCCTGTCTCTTTGAACTTAAGGCAACTATACTGGTTATTACAGGATCAATGGCTTAGGTACCAAAGCCAGATTTTGGTTGCTATGAACATCAATCATTTTTTAAAATCTAGTAAAACTGACAGTTCTCTGCATTTTAAAATAGTTGCTAACGTTTATTCCCTGAGACTTTCAATTTGGGGATTTACTATATTTGATCTCCAGGGAATGATATTTTGGGGAAAATATATACCAAACAGACATGAATGCTGGATAATATCCTGATAAACATCCTCTAATAGCAAGGCATTTCTAGACCTTAAAGGAAGATGAACAAAACTAAAATTTTAATCCACCTGCCTCAGAAATAGGATTATAGCTTTTTAAAACCAAAGTTTCCACTTTCTATATTATTATGTTAAGCAAGCATCCTTCCACTTGAGCCACACCCCAGCCTTTCTATATTATTGTGGTTCTTTAGTTGTGTTAGACGGGTTTGTTTTTGTTCATTTTGTTTGTTTGAGACATAATCTAGATTGCTTAGCAGGCTGGCCTTGAACTCTTGATCCTTTTGCCTTATCCTCCCAAGTTCTGGGCTTATAGGTGTGTCTTGCCATTCCTGCTTTGATTTTTGTTTTGTTTTGTTTTCAAATATATGTTAGAGTTTGCTAAGAGCAGCTTCCTCTGGGATAAAAACTGCATAACTAGGAATAGGCAAAAAAAAACCCTTTTGAATTTTGTGCACACTAATTTTAAATATAGGTTTAAAATAGAACGAACAGTATATATTTTAAAGATTATTTATTTGCATACATATATTAGTTGTACAAGGGAGATTTCATTACGTCTTCTTATATGCATCCAATATACCATATATCCCACCCCCTCTATCACTCTCCTTTATTCCCTTCCCTCATTCTTAAAACAATATCAACTGGCTTCACTATTCTATTTTCATACATGAATAAAAGTACTTCAACCATATTTGTCCTCATTCACCTCTGTTGACCCTCTTTCCTCTTGCTGGCAACTGTCCTACAACAGAGACTGTTTTACTTTCCTATTATTCACTTTTTTCACTTTTTACTGTGTCTTTGTTATACAAAGGCGTTTCACCATAGTATTTCACTATGAAATAATAGAATATATTATGGATATATATGAAATAATAGAATATATTATTTACTCAGATTAATCCCCTCTATTGTTATTTTCCTGCACCCTTTACCCTCATATTATTAAACAGCTTTCAGTAAGATCCCTTATCCCATTTACAAATTGATAATATGTACATAATACATGTGTATTACATTATATATAAAATATATACATATTGTAACCATGAATATATCTACATGATATATTTTAATATTATTCATACTCATCATTTTTTCACAGCTGATCGTTTTCACAAGACTCCTATTTTATAGGATGAGTAGGTTTGATTATTGGTGAAATGTTCATTCTGCTAGGGAGATGGTCAAGGGAAATTAGGAAAAGTAACAAGGAAGTATACATTTTTTAATTTGTTTTAATGATTATAGATTTAATACCTGAGAACAAAGTATGCTTAAAGAATGTAGATTTTTTAATCTGTTGTCTTATACGACAAATGTCAGTTTTTAAAACTTATTGTAGCTTATTTATCAACTGAGGCCTAAAAGAAGTCTACTTTCTATTAAAATGACTAACCTTGACATTCTCAGTCCCCAAGGGCTAGCTATATAAGCAGAGGAAATACATAAAGCTCGATCCTACCTGAAGGAGAAGAAAGCCCCCACCTACTGCAGTTGCTGCAAGTTTCCCAACCTTCTGGAACAAAAATCCTGCACACCTTTAATGGAAGAAAAAACAAAAGATGAGAACATTAATTATGTACTAAACCTTCCCGCTCTACTTTTTATTGCTTCCTAATAAAATCTAAATGTCTTCCCATTTCTTTTGATTATGTCTCTTGCCTGCTTAGCAATGTTCAATATTTCTCTATACTCATACAAGCTAGTCAAAAATGAACAACTGAAAAGAATAAGGTTCTAGAATTATTAATTTCTAAAGTTAGTAAGATATTCAAGCTTCCATGAAACAAAAGTCGTTTTAAGTAAAATGTATCCACTCAATGAAACACTAATCATAAGATAATGAAGAAGGGCTGGGAAGTTGGCTCAGTGGTAGAGCGCTTGCCTTGCATGCCTGAGGCCCTGGGTTCAATTCCTCAGCACCACATAAGCAAAAAGAAAAAAGCCGGAAGTGGCACTGTGGCTCAAGTGGTAGAGCGCTAGCCTTGAGCTGAAGAGCTGAGGGACAGCGCCCAGGCCCAGAGTTCAGGCCCCATGACTAGACCCCCCCCCAAAAAAGAGAAGAATTCAGGGTATAAATTAAGCTAAAAAAGGCACAACCTACAATGTCTGAGATTTATTGCAAAATAAGGGATGGAAAGAAAAGGAGGATTTATAGGAAAGGAGTGGTCACAGAATCTGAATAATGAGTACTTAGAGGTTCATTGTGTTCCTTTTTCTCTATTTCTGTAAACTGAAAGTTCCCATAATAAATTATTTGTTTTGTTTCACTTAATACAGTCAAAATGTTCTATAAACCTGGAAGACAGCCACTCTACTCAAGCCTACTTTACCTCAGTGTTCAAGTAAGTCATCATCTTAGCTTGAGCTATTAATCTTCATGATTTTAGGGCTGTCTAGCTCTGCCTATCAAAAGCTTTCCTACCCTTTAAGGTTTGATGCAGTTCCACTTTACTGACTACAATTCAGCCCATTTTTCTCATAGCCTCCTTATCTATTTTTATATTTAGCCTGTTTTGTCTCATCTATAGATCTTATAGAGTTAGTGTTTCATCTATAGTTTTACAGAGTTAAGTGTTTCCCCAAATTCATGTCCTTTCTGGGATTTCAAAAATGTAACCTGGAAACAGAGCCGCTGTAGATGTAATTAGTTACGATGAGGTCATACTGGAAGAGGGTAGGTCCTTAATCCACTATGAGTCACCTCTCACAGAGACACAAACACACAAAGGGAAAAGGACAATGTGGTAAGAACAAAGGGAAAGAGATTAGAGTGGCCATACTGAAAGAATGCCAAGGATGGCAGGCAATTACCAGAAGCTAGGAGATAAACATGAGAATTTTTTTTCTCACTAAATGTCCAAGAAGGAACCAATCCTTCTGATAGCTTGATTTCAGACTTCTACCCTCCAGAAATGTGAAAGAACAAGTTTCTGTTATTTTAACCTACACAATTTGTAATACTTTATTATTACATCCCTAAGAAACTAACATCTTCCTACATGATAAATTTCTTTCTCTTCTTCCCTAGTACTGGGGCTTGCACTAAGGGCTTCTGCTTGTGAGACCAGCAATTGAACCACACTTCCAAATCCTTTTTGCTTTATTTTCCAGGCCAGGTCTCTCATGTTTTGCCCACTATGGCCTGGTGCTGTCCTCCTACTTAAAATTAGGATGACAGGTGCATGCCACCATCCCCAGTTTTTTGTTGAGATGGAGTGTGGTTAGCTTGTTGCTCAGGATGGCCTCAAACTGATCTTCATCTCCCAGGTAGGACTGCAGGCATGAGTCACCATGCCCTGCCAAAAATAACATTTCAAATTATATGATGGGCTTATCCTATACTCAAAACTACATATTCCAAGTGGTCAAAAGTAAAATATCATCTTTCCAGCTGAAAACTGCTAAAGTTCCAGTTTATAAGTGATAGTACCATTCCCCAAGCTGGCCACTCACATCCATCACAGCCTCTTCTGGCATCATCCTGAGTACAACTGAATGCAAAGTTCCATGACTTAACTCTAAAATGGTACCTGACTCTTTCCTCTATTCTTATGGGAACATTATCTTGTAAACAGGTTGGCTTCCACTACCTTTCTCTAGACCACTATACAGGCACACGAACTAGTCCTCATAGTCGCCATGGCTTTTAACAACCACCCATCTTGATATTAGTTTTAAATTTTAAAAATTGTTTATTGTTTGCCAGACATTGGTGGCTCATGCCTGTAATCCTAGCTACTCAGAGACTGACATCTGAGGATCACAAAAGGTAGCCAGAGCAGCAAAGTTCATGTGACTCTCACCTCCAGTTAACCACCAAAAAGCTGTAAGTGAAAGTGGAAGTGTCTCAAGTGGTAGAGAGCTAGCTTTGAGAAAGCTCAGAGATAAAATTGTTTATTGTTTGCCAGACATTGGTGGCTCATGCCTGTAATCCTAGCTACTCAGAGACTGACATCTGAGGACCACAAAAGCTAGCCAGAGCAGCAAAGTCCATGTGACTCTCATCTCCAGTTAACCACCAAAAAGCTGTAAGTGAAAGTGGAAGTATCTCAAGTGGTAGAGAGCTAGCTTTGAGAAAGCTCAGAGATAGTAACCGGGTCCTGAGTTTAAGCTTCAGGACTGGCACGCATGCACAAGTGCGCGTGCGCGCGCACACACACACACACACACACACACACACACACACACACACACACAAATTATAATCTTCAAGTAGTTGTATAGAGGGGATTCAATTCAACATGTCAGTTTATGAGTACAATGCATTTTGATCAATGCTGATCAACATTAACCCTTTCATAATTCTCTCCTATCTACCCTAATCTCACCATTGCCTCAACTTTCCTAGTTCCATGCATTCACCCATCTTTCCTCTCTCCATTTCTTAAGTTCTTATGATCAAACACCTTTAGCTAATCTACAGCTAAATACAATTTCTGAGCCTCAGTCATGTCTTGACTCACTAACTACATTAATACCTACTAAAATTTCCATTAATATATATATTACAATATTAGTTTTATACTTTGAGAATCCAAAAATGTACTATACTGAATCTACATTACAGAACAAGTCATTACAACCAATCACTTGTATAACATTAATGTTCTATTACATAGCTTCTGGGTTGATATCTGTATATAACCCAAATGAATATATTACTATCAAGAACATGTCTGTTTCAAGGACTTAACAAGCTTGTGCATTCATTGCCTGTTGGTTTTAGTTACCAAGATGAACCTATTAACTTCTCTGCTGCTGTCTCTTTGCTTTCTAAGCAAACTCAATTACAGGGCTTCTTACCAGATTTAGTCTATAAGGAGAAAGTATTCAATGATCTGACAATTCTATTTCTCAATTGTCAATACCTTTTAATATTCAGCTTTTGGCTCTATTAACCATGCACCAAATTATGAGCTTATTTAAGCAGAGAGCCATACTCCAAATTACAGGGAAAATGACACAATCAGCTTATGATGAACTGTTTGATTAAACAGGCCCTCACCAGAAATCTCTCTTCAATTTTCAGGCTTTTTTTTCATAAAGAAGTGTTAATTAGTACACATCACAAAGAAATACCGCATCCCTGTGCCACAATATCTTCACAATGGGTGTTTCTATCATAAAGTGGCCTTTACAAAAGACATAAAGGAGTGTACCATTATTCCAAAATGCAAGGAAAATACAAGTCAAAAATTTTAACCTAAATATGCTAAATGGAAATTTTCACCCTAGATGAATTGAATTTAAAATGTAAAGAAAAAAGGACTATTCACAAGTTAAACACCTTAACTTCAAAAAATTCTAGGCATTAACATTTTCAAAAGGATCCAATTTGTTTCTGCCCCTCTTTACCTTACTAATCTTTTATTCCAAAAATCATAGGAATTGAACCACAGTAATAACCATGGAATAATGTGATTTATCTGTTTGATTAGTATTTATTATTCCTTAATGTATTCCACAATATTATTGCACAATAAGCAATAAGTCTATTGTTACCAACACAAAGCCAATGTTCTCAATTCTTAAAACTTTATCATAATCTGAACCAGCCCACAAAACATAACAGAATCAGTTTTTGCAGTTACCAGGGTTTGAACTTAGGGCCTCTCACTTGCTAGGCCAATGCTCTACTAAGTGTGCCATGCCTGCAGCCCATCATTAGTAATTTTTACTGAAGTTTACAGTACTCTCTCTACAGAGTAGACAATTCCAGGGACCAGGTTTGCTGTGGGAGTTTCTGACAGGTTTACTCAGTTGCTAGCACAAATGGTAAGTAAAAATTGATGTTCAGTACTCTCATATTTCTTCCCATCTTCTATCAGTGAATCAAATATAGTACATTTGCTGGGCCTAAGAAAAGGAAGACTATATAAGAATTCAATGAGGGGTATGGAAGGAAGAGTGACTCTGGTGGACAAAGAGAAAGAAGATCATCAGAATTCAACAGGGAGTCCCAGATCACACTAATTATATCATAGTGAAAAGCTCAAAGTAGGACTCTCCTATAACTAACAGTATAGATCACTGAACATGCACAGTGACCCTAGCCCATTTACAAAACGTTGTCAGCTTCCTAATGAAACAGATGAAAAATACATGAAAAAAAAAAAATGCTGTTCTCACCAGCCAGTCACGCCACCAGTTACAATCTGGGTAGCTACTGAGTATTTTTCTACCATAGGTCCCGAACTGTGGCCAAACACTCGATTCCACCAGTGGTGCCTTCTTGCATACTCAGTTAAATCCAACACTTCGTATGAGTCGTCATCACTCTCATATTCTTCAAAATATAAAATGGAAAAAATTAATCGAGTCAATCTACAGTCAGAAATATGGCATATATATACACATATATGTATCTATATGTAGATATATATGTATAGATACATATGTCATATATGTATAGATACATATATATCATATATGTATAGATACATATATATCTATACGTATAGACATATATGTGTGTTTATATATGATATATATGTACGTCAAAATTCACTTTCTACTGTTACTTTCGGCCTACATCTGAAAATGCTCATATGGGAATTAATGAACGTGTTTAACTCAATTCCTGAGACCAGGGGCTTGAATAAGGGGCCTAGCAATAATAACCCCATTTCCTAGCCAAAAGCCCAGGGAAGGCCTTGGGGACATGGAGACCTGGTCAGTTGAGTTACCCGGCTATGACAGGTCACCCTTGACCACCAGGATCAAGGCAGGAAGATTCTTTTCATCAGTGGAGGGGGGGGGGGGTCCTCCGGAAGAGGTCAAAAACCAACCCACTGAGGGGAAATCACTTTAGAGTGGGACTCTGAAAAAAAAAACGGAAAAAAAATCTAAGAACTCAAAAAAAAAAAAAGCCGTTTGAAAATGAATATTAAGAGCCAGGGACGAGGTAGGGCAAGGCTGTGTTGGGGGAGGGGGATCGCTTTCAGCTTGAGTTCCGCGAAGGGTAGGGTGACTAGTACAGAAGGGGTGCTCAAAACAGAGCCAGCCCCAGGAACCCTGGAGCAAAGGGAGGAAGCAAGGTCGAGAGCTGTGAGCCGCGTCCCAGATACGACTTTGGGCCCCGGCCGCTCACCTTGGGGAGGGGGGTTCCGGGACGCCATGATACCGCCGGCGGCCAGTTCGGGGTGGTTCCCGCCCGCCCTCCTTAACTCCGCACTTTAAGGGCCGCTCTAGGCCGAGAAATCTATGGTCGTTTTTTCTTTGCTCCTCCTCCTTCACCACCACCTTCTTCAGCTAGGCTATCACCGCCCACTTCGTTCTGCGCAGGATTTTCCACGCGGCTCAAGATTTTCCGCGCAGGCGCACTGCTCGGGGTTGGGGGCGGGATAGCCAACTCGCCACCTGCGTTGGCTTATGGGAGTTGTAGTCCGGGGCCCTTTGACTTGTGACCAAAGTGTGTTCCCAGCCCCCTTAGAATTTCCATAATCATAATTTTATTTTGTTAAAGAGCCTCGGGGCTGCAGGAACGGATGGAGGGGCGGCACATGCTGGTTTAACAGAAGAAGCAACTTGATATTAACAGACTGTTTTTGATGACACGTCAGTCAGGACACTGTTCCAAAGCTCTTTTTAATTGCATCTCCTTCTCAGGCCCTGTCTTGCCTAGACCACTTGAAACAAGAATCCTGCTAAATCACTTTAGTGAGAATTTTCCACACAAACCTTTGCTATCTAATACTGTCAATATCCATTTAAGTTCTTCTTCCTCTGTCCTTGATATCTGATCACCCAGACCTCCTTCCTTCAGCAAGAATCTTGTTAAATCAACTCGCCAAGAATCCCATACATTTGATGTCTCCTCTTGTTAGCATCCTACTCTTTGACCCACTCACTTAGATGGCTATAAATCCCCAGCTGGATTTGTTGCATGCGAAGTTGAGCTGGGTTCTGCATCTTTACTGCAATAGACCTGACACCTATTTCAAGAGTGGTAAATAGTCTGTCTTACCATTTTAACAATGGTTAAACTAATTTTTTAGGTTGTCTTTTTTACATTACCAACTGGGAATTAGAACATTTTCACCTCTTCACCCTCTACATATTTTCTATGAGGAACATAAGGAAGGTAGAGGAAGGCTCAAGATCTGATCCGATGAGTTACTTGAGGACATAATTTTGTAATATCTTGGTTAATTTAATTTTTGATACGTGGTCCTCATTATATAGTCCAGGCTAGTCTGGAACTCAGAATCCTTATGCCCCAGACTTCTGAGTGTTGAACTTATGGGTATGCACCATCATACCTGGCTTTTAGGCATCATTCTTTTTATTTAAATCTGACAGGAATTCAATTAAAATGTTCACTCAGAAGCTCTATGAGACTCTGCAGAATGTAAAACCATGACATGTTGGTCACCAAACAGCTAACCCAAATTCACATAAATTGCCACCAAACTTATTTTAAACTTCCCTTTTATTTCTCAGCTAAACAATTAAAAAGAATGGCTCACTCATATTAACTTTAATGGAAAAGCAGGAAATTCTACTGTGTATCACATTACTTAAAATATTGACTTGTATAATTGTACTTCATGTTTCAATTCCTGACATTTTGAAAATAATATTCTTATTAATTAAATATTTTTGCCAGTCCGGGGGCTTAAACTCAGGGCCTGGGCACTGTCCCTGAGTTGCTTTTGCTCAAGGCTATCACTCTACCACTTAAGCCACAGCACCACTTCCACTTTTTCTGTTTATGTGGTACTGAGAAATCAAACCCAGGGCTTCATGCATAGTAGGCAAGCACTCTCCACTAAGCCACTTTCCCAGACTTAATATTCTTTTCATTTATATAGCTTTCAAGTTTGTTGCAGTCACTTATTGACTGAGACTTTTCCTTAGCATATGACCTGCTTACCTTCATTATTGTTTGTATTAGAATACTCCTAAGTAACTTGTATTTCTTTAGTTCGTACCATATACACAAAAATAATGAATCCATTATTCAGTCATATTTTTTTCCTTTTGCTTAATATTTGTTGGAAAAAGCAAATACTCTCCTCTATGGCTTAATGTAACTCCACTATTCTACAGAAATTAACAGGACATAAGAACATGTGGAGACAGCCATATCAATCATTTAATTTAATGTTTATGAAGGTAGTTTAGAGAGTTGGGGGTAAAGAGAGAGGAGATGAAGTCCAACACTCCAAACACATGGCAGAAACATAAGATAGTAAAGTGAAGCCAAAGGCTCCTGCACATAATTCTAGCTATTCAGGGGACTGAGATCTGAAGATCATAGTTTAAAGTCAGTCCAGGCTGGAAAGTCTGTGAGACAGATCTTCAATTAACTACCAAAAAGTTGGAAATGGAGGTGTGGCTCAAGTAGTACAGCACTAGCTTCGAATAGAAAAAGAAAAGCTAAGGGGCATGCTTAAGTCCCTGAGCTCAAGCCCCAGTACAGGGGTGAGAGGAGTAAGGGGTGGAGGCTGTAAAGAAAGAGATCAAAAGGATGCAAATATTAGAAATTTTGGACACTGATATAAAACAGGATGTAAAAATCCAGAACTGGAGATCTTATTCAAGTAGTAGATCACCAGGCCTCAGTGAAAAAGCCAAAGGAGAGTGAGTCCCAGTACCAGAGTTCAAGCCCCCATGCCAGTCAAAACAAACGAATGAAACAGGGTGGTCAGATGAATGCAAAAACACTTAAATTATGTGATTAAAAAATTAGAGCTGGCTGGGAAGGTGGCTCAGTGGTAGAGTGCTTGCCTTGCATGCCTGAGGCCCTGGGTTCGATTCCTCAGCACCACATAAGCAAAAAGAAAAAAGC